CTTTCATAAAGCATAATTCTTCATCTTCCTTTCTAGATATGGATGCCTGCATCAGTTGTTCACCAGATTTTTATGCAAATTTATATCACAATGAATGCATTCCCAAGGTGATAAGCTACCTTTCTTATGAAGAACCTTTGGGGATCTGTTTGGTCTTTTTTGCTATTTCCTTTGCTCTGATCACAGCTGTGATTCTTGGAATCTTTCTGAAGCACCAGGATACTCCAATCATAAAAGCCAACAATCGGAGCCTGACCTACATTCTTCTTATTTCTCTCATACTTTGCTTCCTCTGTACCTTGCTCTTCGTTGGAGAGCCTGGACATGTGACCTGTGCATTCCAGCAAATGACCTTTGGCATCCTTTTTGCAATTGCTATTTCTTCTGTTTTGGCCAAAACTATCACTGTGGTTGTGGCATTTATGGCAACTGAACCAGGATCCAAGATGAGGAAATGGGTGGGGAAACGAGTGGAAAAGTATTGTCCTTTCCTGCTCTTTTATTCAGGCAGGTATTTGTACAATTTGGCAAAGTATCTCTCCTCCATTTCCTGATGTGGACATGCACTCACTAAATGGGAAAATAATAATTAAATGTAATGAAGGGTTAGTCTCCATGTTCTACTGTATACTGGGTTACATGGGCTTCCTGGCTGTTGTCAGCTTCACAGTAGCTTTTCTAGCCAGGAAGTTGCCTGATAATTTTAATGAAGGCAAGTTTATCACTTTCAGCATGTTGATCTTTTGCTGTGTATGGTTGTCCTTTGTTCCAACTTACTTGAGTACTAAAGGGAAATCTATGGTGGTTGTGGAGATCTTCTCTATCTTATCCTCCAGTGCTGGCTTACTAGGTTGCATCTTTTTCCCTAAATGCTACATCATTGTTATGAGGCCTGACCTGAACAATAAGGGACAACTAAGAAGAATGAAACACTAAGCAAGAATTTGAGATTTTTTTCTGTTTGGGGTAAAAAATTATAGATGTCTGTGCTGTGAAGAAAAACAGTAGACCCAAACAACACCTGAACAGGAGCATCCTTGTCACCTCTGTACCTGTTAATTCAAAAATAATTCTCACTGGGAACAATACTAGACAGGTGGATATGGAACACGGCTTATTCTTTGGAAAAGGTACTTGGAATGACATCATCTGTGTCTAACATTTCTGCACATTTAGATGGGAGTAATTAGCACTGAACTGAGTGGGGTTATTTTTTTTAAAAAAGGATTGTGTTAATAACTTTTGGCTGCACATTAGTCGTCTAAATGTAGCTAACATGTCTGAAATTCCTGTGAATTAAGACAATAAATTTCCTTGAATTAAGAAAATGAAGTAATTTGTATTTCTTCACTTCTGATTATTCATCAAACATGTCTTTGGATACCCATGATGTAATAGGATATATAGATCAAGAAAGCTCATGACACATTGTAGACATTGCATATATTCCTTTAATGCTTTTAGTTAAAGACTAGCATAGCCGACTTTCTGGAAATTCTGTATTTATCCCCCCCCCCACTATAGAGTATTCACATCCTACTCCTCAACCAAATACCAGTTCCCAATATGGCTAACAATATATTAGAAGCAAATTAAAGTAGTAGTAGTTCATGATGATAATGATGATGATATATTGATTGACATACAAATGACAGAATTCCAACACCAAGAACACCAAAAAAGCAAACAAATTCTGTTTAAAAAAACAGAGTTGTGCAGTTACCAGTACAATGTAGTGGGGGGATTTTTAAAAAACCCTTCACGTATCAGCAAAAAGAAAGCAAATGAAAATAAAGGTGAGAAATCTAAGGAGGGTGGTCTGAATTTGGGGGACAACAGGCTCCACTTCTCTGAAAAAGGAGGGAGGCACTGCAGGGCCTCTGGCAGTAAATCTCAAATCATAGGCAAGACAGCACAGAAGCAGACAGTGCTTTTGAGATTTTACACCTGGCACAAGAAGTAGATTTGCCCATAGGCCACAGCTTTCTTATTTGACAAGTCTGTTGTGCAACACATAAATTATTTATCTGCCAAGTATCCCTGGAGGTCAATATTGGCATACATGTTACACTGACAACTAGTGGACATCACCTTGCTCGGGTAATACCACCTCAGCTCCAAGTATAATGATATAAGAATATCCCTGCTGTACCAGACCAAGGGCTCATCAAGACTGGCATTCTGTTCACACAGTGGCTGATCAGTTGCATCTAGGAAGCCCACAAGCTGGATGACTGAAGCAGCATCCTTCTGCCTGTGTTTCTCAGTGCCTGACATAAAGAGCCATACTGCCTCTGGTACTGCATCCTAACTAGCAGCCACTGTGAATAGTAACCAGTTATAGCCCTATTCACCATGATTTTTTTTCCACTCTCCTTTAAAAACCTTTACATTTGGTGACCATCACCACACCAGATCATTAGTCTAACTATTGTTCACTGCCCATACATACAGTCCTAAGTAGCATTCTCAACCTTTGATGAGCTCTACAGGATCAATGAGATTGCCACAGCCAAAGGGAGACTCCGGTCCCGGTCATACCTGGAACACCGCATCAAGTGCGACCATGGGATTGCTGGTGCGCCCGTCGTCCGGAGCAATCCAGGCTCCTGGCCGAACTGCACATGCACACACATGCGCAGTTCAGCTGCTGCACTCTTCCTTCAGTGGCTTCCCCCCCCGCCATCTGATCGTGCCGGCGAGGAACTGCGCGGCGGCTCAGGGGATCTATGTGATCCCGCTGCCACGTGTCTCTTTTGGTGCGGCTTTCAAAAGCCACACTTTGCCCATGCTCCCCCCCCCCGTGTGGCAGGGGCGTCCCTGCACCAAATGCTTTCAGATTAGAAAGCCATAGATGCTAGTTTGCATAAAACCTCCTTTCAGCAGTGTGATACACTGATACTTAATCTGATATCCTATTGTATATGTATGCCAATAAAGGCTTGTCAAAGTAAAAAGATACACTGATATCACTTCTATACTCACAGGTGCACTGCTCATTGATTGACTGCACTGCATGGAACAGTGCCTAAGTTCCATATAACACTCTTTTCAAGCATGAAGGCAAAGTGTCTCCCAACCAATATCCATGTATATGCATCAGCTGGGGAAACCCCATTTCTGAAAATGCCTTCGTGGTGTAGACACCACCTAGTGATATGGTATTTGTCCTTAAGAGAGCATAGTTTGGTGCTCAGAGTACTTCAATTGCATTTTCAAAACAATGCTTACAACACTTCAGTGCAATCCAGATTATATTGCAGAACAGGGAATTAAGTAGAGCACAAATGGCTTATATAAGGCCAGCTATGACTGTGGATGTAATGGATATTTGGGCCCACATATAATAATTTCTCATTAAGCCTGACACCAAACATGTGTAGGAGATCCCTGAAACTGACAAGGGGGACTGTTATCCAATAACAAATAGGGTGGGATGCCATTAAAATTAGCAAGAATTCATCTTGCAGTTAAAATTATCAAGAATTCAGATTGAAAACAGTAATGCTTCTCTGGAGGAAACACATGCACTGATGGATTGTTTGGTCAGGGATTCTGGAGGGTTTGTTGCCATCTTCTGATCACTGGGGGTGTGGGGTACAGACATAGCTACAGTGGGGCATCATGGGGCCATGCCCCCTTACTCATCAGCCATACCCCAAAAATCCTGCTCCCTGAAACATTTTAAAAAATATTTACGTTGGCATTTTAAATTAGTAAGTTGTGCCACTCCACACCTTGCCCACAGCCTGATTTACAGTAGCCCATCTGATGTACCCAATTTCACTTCCTCGTTCTGGCCTAGCCTTGTTGTCCTGATTCTCCAGTCCTCCTGGGACACATGACTTTGCCAGCCTGATTCACTTCCTTTGCCTTAGCCTGTTGTCCTCATTAGCCAGTCCTGGCACATGTGACCTAGCCAGCTCCACCCTCCCTTCCTATTTACCTTTCCAATCCCATCCACGTTGACTGGTCTGTGAATCACAGACACTATGAACACTTAAAATTCTTGAGGGAGGAAACTCAGCAGGGAGAGGAACAAGGCAAAGGCATTTCCCAGTTTCCTGAAAACAAAACCAAATTGCAACCGTGAAGGGCCAAAAAGGTTCAATTGCTGGGGAAGCCTTAGTCCAAAGCAAAAAATAAATAAATCCTTCACTGTTATCATTTAAATAAATCTTATATGTCAGAAATTCCCAAGAGAAAAAATATGTTTGTTTCTACAGACCTATGAGCAGATTTGTCCGTAATCTTGATGTTTTACTAATTATTTTGGCTCTGGGCAAAGAAACCCTGGATTTACCACCTGCTGCCCTTCCAGGTTTTGATGCCATAATGATGTCAGCCCCTGGGAAACTGTCTACCTGGTAATTATCAGTATCTCTCTAACTGTCCTAATTTTTTTTAAGTCAGAAAAGTATTATAAGATGGCTCTGTTTGTTTCATTAACAGACAAGGGGACAGAGGCCAGCAGTTTCTGTCAAGAGCTCTCTCAGCCCCATCTACCTCACAGGGTGTCTGTTGTGGGGAGGGGAAGGGAAAGGAGTTTGTAAGCCACTCTGAGACACCTTTGGGTAGTGAAGGACGGGGTATAAATCCAATCTCTTCTTCTTCTTCTTCTGATTGCTCCTGAGCCAGATGACTGTCCTGTGATATTTACCAGAGCGGACATATTGCAAGGCGTTCCAGCAAGTTGCATCTGCTCCCTTCAACATTCCCACTGAGTGTTCCTTGGTGGGATCATGTCTAAAAAAGAAATTAATTATGCTTTCTAGCAGAGATACAGGAAAGGCCTCAAAAGCTGCATAGGAATATTAAGGTAGATGAACAGCTGCAGTAATCCAGTGCAAACAAAAAAGATGGTGTCACAGGGGTAGGTGTCAAATCAGTACTCTCAGTCTCTATTTTCAGAAGATTGTAACCAGGCAGAAGTTAAGAAGTTAAATGTTGTTGAGGAGAGCAGAGCAATGGGTTTCTGGAAGGGAAGTTCAGTCCTCAAAATGGTGGTGCTCTTGGTGCTGCTGTCTGAGCTGCTACCTCATGTTGGATGCAAGAAACGTTTGGTTCATCGCAACATGGAGAGCCATTCCATTCAACATTGTGTAAGTGATCCCTTCTTAATTCTGCATGAGTTTTATCGACCAGGAGACTTCATCATTGGAAAGATAACTTCTCAAGCTTTTGGCGTACACCTCGAAACTAATTTCAGTGAACAACCTTCTGTGTTTTTGATCAAGTAAGCCATTTCCCCTGTCACATACACATGGTAAATACACAATAACCATGCAAATAAAATTTGAAGAGCAGTTTACTTCAGTAAGCATTTGGGGGATTTTATTTGCTCTGCCTTCTGCATGAACTTCACTTATTGCTCAATGAACACAGTACTTTCTTCATTCTAATGCCACTTATAGTGCCATCCTACATAAAGTAGCATCCTTCTAAGTCCATTGAATTTAATAGAGTTAGAAGGGTATAGCTTTGCTTACTGTGGCACTGTTACACATTTATTCCATTCTAGCTTTGTAGATTCCCCCCCATGAGTCTTCTGTTCTTAGGCCTATGCTAGCCGTTATTAGCTAGCATTGTTAATTATGGTGAATATCTTAAGTATGTTGTATAACTAAATTAATGTCTTTATATAAATGCTTGCAAAATTTTCCTCTTCTGAATTACTTTCTGGATTATCAAGCTCTGAATTGCATGAGGGGTTTACCCCACAAAGCAGAACCAATGCAATAGGAATTCTATGCTGTTTCAGTTTCCCCCAATTCTTCAGACTTTAAAAAAATCAATCATTATGTATGCCTCTTTTCCTGCGGTTGTCTATTTATGCTGTTCATTTGTATCTTATTTTCCCTTCCGATGTTTCTAGTGGGCATGTGCTCACTGACAAAAATATGCAAAGCAACCCAATTGTAATTCTACATAATGTTGTATTCAAGATTATTTTCACAACATTTTATCAATGCACAGAAACAGTGTTACACATTTATTCCATTCTAGCTTTGTAGATTACACCCCCCCTCCATGAGACTTCTGTTCTTAGGCCTATGCTAGCCATTATTAGCTAGCATTATTGATTATGGTGAATATCTTAAGTATGTTGTATAACTAAATTAGTGTCTTTATATAAATGCTTGCAAAATTTTCCTCTTCTGAATTACTTTCTGGATTATCAAGCTCTGAATTGCATGAGGGGGTTTACCCCGCAAAGCAGAACCAATGCAAAATATGCAAAGCAATCCAATTGTAATTCTACGTAATGTTGTATTCAAGATTATTTTCACAACATTTTATCAATGCACAGAAACATTTTTTTAAAACACCCTTACAAAGAATATTGAAACAGTCATTCATATGAACTTTGCTTTTTTACTGTTCATGTGTTGTTTTGGTAATGTAGTTTTTATCATTTTGAGTTTTGATTATTTTGCTATGCAGCTCATAACTTTCTTTGCAGTGTGGTGCCAAAGAACTACCAGCATATCCTTGCCTTGGCATTTGCTGTAGAGGAGATAAATGAAAATCCCACACTCTTACCTAATGTCACTTTGGGTTTCCACATCTATGACAGCTTCTATAATGCCAAGATGACATATAAGGCCACACTGGACCTTCTTTCCACACAGCATAGGCTAGTCACTAACTACCAGTGTGATGTTCAAAACAATTTGATAGCTATCATTGGAGGGCTTGACTCTTGGATCTCACTCTGTATGGCTACCATAACAAACACCTACAAGATTCCACAGGTAAGTTGTATGATTTTTTAAAAAATGAACTAACTACAGGAATAAATTTTGATTTTCATATTCAGAGTGGTTTGGGGATTCTTAAGGAATCTGTGAATGACAAACACATTGAAAAAATATTCTAAAACTTAAAAGAAAATTGCGGCATGTAGATCACTCTGGCAACCACTAATCTCAGGTCTAATTATCAAAGCCACCAGATAAGATGATAAACTTCTGTCTATAGAACCTGCCTTGCGGGTGGAGCATCACATGATTGAATGCTACTGTACCCAGATCCTGTTGGATTACCTTGGAACCTTGGGTGATAACCATACTGCTAGCAGATGAGGACCCTGAAATGACTCACTTGGTGGCAAAATATCTATCGATGGTGCTATTTTTAAAGTTGCTTTGAAATGCTGTAGGTAGTTTAATGTATACAAATTTTAAAATTCTAAAATTAATTTCCATAATATCATGGGATTTTATAGAGTTTATGGAAGTTTATAAAATGTCTATTAATACTGTTTATGAGTCTGTTCATTAGTTTTTATTGTAAAAATGTTTGGTCTAAATTATCTTGTAATTATATGTAATGTGTTTTATTGTAGCTGTTTGTATGTTTGGCTTAAGACCTTTGGTCAATGAAGCTAATAAATGAAAGGAAAGGAATATTACTGTAGTAAAATGAAGAACTGACATGAGCTGTGATACTTGATTCACCTTTATAGAAACATTTGTTTTATATTAATAGTGAGCCACAACATAGCATATAAGCAAGTGATTTGATCATGGACATCTTGAATTGTGTTAAATAGAAACTTGTATATTCTTTCAGCTGACCTATGGCTCCCTTGTCTCAGGGCTGAGTGACAAAACATTGTTCTCATCCATGTATCAGATGGTCCCCAATGAATCCAACCAGTACATTGGGATCGCCTATTTACTCCAGCACTTCAAATGGACATGGGTTGGGATATTTACAATGGATTATGCCAACGCAGAGAGGTTTTTGCAAGATTTAGTGCCAGTGCTTTTCCAGAGAGGTGTCTGCTATTCCTTTATAGAAAAAATGCCCAAATGGACCTACACTGAAAGAATGATAGAGCTGTTGTCAAATAACCTGGCAACTTTTTCAAGACACATGAACAGTAACGTCAATGTGTTTGTTGTCCACGGTCAAGCACCATCCATGTATTATTTGTCCTGTTTTTTGCACATGGCAGGCCTTCAATCACCTATAGGGAAGTTGTGGATTTGGACAACCCACTGGGAGTTTGAATCAAGTACTAATCAAAGAGACTGGGATATCCAACCCTTCCAGGGTGCCATATCCTTGACAGTTCACTCAAATGAACCTCTAGGATTCCAGATATTTCTTCAGAAGATAAATCCTTCCTGGGCAAAAGAAGATGGTTTTATCCATGACTTTTGGGAACAGGCATTCAACTGCTTATTGAAACCTTCCAGCATGGGTGAGGGTGAGAATATCATGGAACCCTGCACTGGGAAGGAGAAGTTGGAGGATCTTCCTGGACTTTTCTTTGAAATGGCTATGATTGGCCACAGCTACAGTGTCTATAATGCTGTCCATGCTATTGCACATGCTCTACAGACTATGTGTGAAACCCAGTCTAAATACAGAGCATTTGTGCCTGAAAGGCAGCTACAACCTTGGAATCTGCAGCCTTGGCAGGTAATTTCACACAATTTTCAGAAGTCTGTCTTCTTACCTTGCCAAAAAACAAACAAACCTGGAGCCTTTCACAGATATGTTGATATTTTATAATGCACTATGTCCCAGAAGGCTTCATTATTGCAGTTATGACATGTATATATATGACATTATTGCAGTATGACATGTATGTTTGGTTATTCCTGAATCATTTGTTCAAGTGTGTTAAATGAATCATTAACTGTTGTTACAATTTTGATTTTAATTTTTTTCTCCCTTCTTTGTATATAGAATTCTAGAAAGCTTTTTTCCTTGATGACTTTCTTAAGTGGGGGGGACTTTTCATGAGCTCTAAGCTGTTAAGAAGTAAATCCCTACTCAAAAGTAAGGTAAACGTAGGCATGGCTGGGAAGCAATCTATGAGATTTCATTTGTTTCAATTATATTTCTCCTACAAGTTAACCACAGGGAACAGATAGGGTTCCGGAGCTTTCAGCTGCTGAACTTTAAAGTTAGTAGATCTGTCCAGATCTATAATACCCTAAGCCTACCGAATACAGATGCATTATGAGTCTTTTGGTGATGTTTTCAACACCTCATTGTATCTTTTTCTCTCTTTGAACTTAGCTTCACTCCTTTCTGAGGAGCACAGTATTCAACAGCAGTGCTGGAGACACCATTCATTTTGATGAAAATGGAGAAATAATTTCAGGGTTTGATGTTGCAATGTGGGTAATTTTCCCAAATAAATCTCTTGTTAAAGTAAAAGTGGGACAAGTGGATCCTCAGGCTCTTTCAGGCAAAGAATTAACAATACAGGATGAAAGAATCCACGGGAATACATGGTTTAGCCAGGTACTTGGTTGCATGAGAAAAACAGAAAATGGAAGATTGATACTAAATGAATTATCTAAGTTCCCCCCTTTTCTTGTATCTCTAAGACATGTAGAATTACTGAACATAATATATCATTATCATACTAAAATACACCCTATTTTCCCTGTGAATAAATGAAGTTGCCACATCTCTGCTTCTGAGGCAGTTGGTGGTCAACAGTTCCACACAGCTGTCACTAGAGGGCAGAGGGGAGACTTGGATATGAACTCTAAATTGCTCAGGAGTAAAGCCCTGCTTGGAAGTAGAATTCAAGAGTTAGAAAGTGGGTGTAACTTGGCAGCAACAGTTTACAAGACAGATGAAGGAACAGTGTCTGCAGAATTGCCATATCTTTGTCAGGAGGCTAATAGGCTTCAGAACTCCACAAACTGAGCCAAGAAAAAAAGGTCGTTTTGATTTCATGGAAGAGGAAACACAAACACAGGGGGTTATTTCTCACGAGAGCGGCCTTGTGCAGCACAGCGCCGTTTGCCTTGACACAAACGTGTCAAGTTCACACCCGAAGCTCCGGGGCTGCATTTGACTTGGGGCTTCACCCGATTTCCTCCGCAGTTTCATGATCCTCAAAAACCAGGATCACAAAACTGCGGAGGAAATCGGGCGAAGCCCCGAGTCAAAATGCAGCCCCGGAGCTTCGGGTATGAAATTGACACGTTTGTGTTGAGGCAAACGGCGCTGTGCTGCGAGGCAGCTCTCGTGAGAAATCACCCCTGGTCTGCCAACTGGGACAGTGGAGGGGACTCTCCTCAGGTCTTACTGTGAAATGAGAGTTTTGTGGCTGAAAGTGATAATAGAAAGAGCCTGGAAAGGACACCTAGCACAGATTGGACTTGTGTGTAGCTGAAAAGGGGAACCACCCTTCTGAACAAACAAACAAACCCTATTGGCCCATTTGGCCAATAAGTTCTCTTAAAGGCAACTTTTCCATTAAAGAAAAGACATATGTTTCAGCTTTGTTTGGTGCATAGTTGATGTGGGAGAAAGAAGATAGGATCAAGAGGCCTCTGATATTGGGAGTTTAAATGTCTGCTTGGACATTGTAGTCCAAGCATTAAATCCATGGTTGGACACATAAAAGTTATATTTTCGATAAGGCTGAGCAGTGCAGTGATAGGAAGTATAAAGTACTTTGTTTGCCCCCACCTAATTACCACCATCACTATATTTGTTGTCTTGCACTAGTAGGTGAACACTTCCCCCCCCCCATTTGGCATACCTCCACTAACTGCTATTGGCCTCCTCCTGAGGTTTTGATGTTATGTGTGTTTATATGGTTTTACTGAACTTATTTTAATTAAATTATTTCATATACATTTTATTTTAGATATTTGCAGTGTTGATGTGCTTTAATATTTGATGTTTGCCTCCTTAGGTACTCTACTAAGGTGGAGAGGTGGCATAGAAACAATTTAAATAAATACAATTTTAAAAATAAAATAAATTATGAAGTCACTATGTAGTGCTTACACTCATATGCAGAAGCTTAATCATTCCTGGCAGATCTATATCCAACCTTCCTTCACTTCAGATGGCAATTCCAAGAATGCCAGTTGGTCTGTTAGAACAAAATTAAACAAAAGTCCAGTAGCACCTTAAATACTAAAAACATCATTTTTACATTGTTTCTATCCACCTTGGGACCTGAAAAAAGGGTGGCAATATAAATTTTCTATAATAATATTAGGAGCTACCTGTCCATCTGTGACAGGCATATCTCCTCAGAAAACAAAGCTAGGTACCTCAAAATTGGTCTCTGGGTTCAGGATGATTGTGGAAGTTGCGGTGCCATAAATGAGAAGAGCTGGAACAATCTGGTGCACATAATCTCCAGAAAATAATCTCTCATTTGTTTGTTTGTTTGGAAAATATGGCTGTCTCTGGTAGGCATAACTCATTAAAAAAAAAATAAAGCTAGGCACTAGAAAATTGACCACCAAGTTCAGAAGGATAATGGGAGTTGCAGTGCCAAAAATGAAAGGAATCAGAACACCCTGGCCCGGGTTATCTAGAGACTCCATCCATTGTTATTTTCAATGGAAGCTAAGGTTGTCTGTGACAGGCATAACTCAACTAAATATATAGCAGGTGACTCAAAACTGGGCACCTGTTTAAGGGTGATCAATGGAGATAAAGTGTCAAAAAAGCCAAGGGACTGAGAGCATCCTGGCATGGTTTATCCTGCAATCCTCCCCCCTCAACAATCCTCAATGTGTGCCTCCCATTCCCAACTTTTTAAAAAAAAAAGTATCCAGAAGCAAACCACAGTCAATGGGACTGAACGTTGCTGTGAGGTCCAGGAGGATCAACAAGATGCACAAAATTACTCTTAGTACAAAATTACATTTTATTAGCATGCTCTGTCACTATGCAATATTGATACATACATACAGGGCTCATTTCCTGCAGGAGCGCACAGGAGCAAAGCTCCAGCAGTAAGGAGCCCAGGGGGTGGGCACATGCAGCAAGCCCTGCCCCCTGCTCTCAGCAGCCCCCCTTGCCTTTCCCAGCCTGCTGGCCAACCCAGCGGAGCGCTGCTGCACGCTGGCCCTCAAGCTGCTCCTCCACTGCCTGGACCAGGGCACCCAGCCCACCCAGGCCCTGCCCGTCCTCATGCCAGCCCTGATGTGGTGCCTCTGCAAGGTGGGCCCCAACTACTCCCATGAGGCCGGCAAGGAGCTCCGCCCTGGCCTCCTGCACCTACTTGGCCTCCTCCTGCACCTCTGCCCCACCACCACCCTGGCCCCCCACCTGCTCGAGGCCATGTGCATCCTGTGTGCCACCCTCCTTGACCCACAAGCAGCCATGCACTTTCCTGCACTTGCTGGCCATCCAAAATAGTCCAGTGGCACCTTTAAAACCAAGGTTTATTCAGGTACAAACTCTCCCTCCTCTGTGAGGGCAGATCTGCATGTTCTCCCCCCACCCATAGCTAGCAATCCAAAACAGTCCAGTAGAGCCTGAGCAGTGGGTGTTGCCTTCTGACACACTCCTGGAGGAGCAAGGGGTGTGTGGCATATGCAAATAAGTTATGCTAATGAGTTATGATAATGAGATCCTGCACCTCTTTTTCTACGAAATGACCCCTGCATACATATGTATGCAGCTATGACTTGTAGTGCTTGAATATTTGTTTGATGTAGAAGAGGGGAAGAGAGTACACAGACTAACATCCCCATCAAATGGGGATGTTTTTGCAGTCCTAACCATTCTATGCCAATGTTTCTGGGCATGTGCTCCCTACTTCTGTGTGCAATGACAACTGCTATCCTGGTTACAGCAAGCAGCAGAAGGAAGGACAGCCATTTTGCTGCTACGATTGTACTCAGTGTCCAGAAGGGATGATCTCTACCAAGAAGGGTAGGAGACAATGTTTTAGCATATATCCAAGGTATCACCTATGACATCATCTCCAGTAATAGGCAAAATAATAATGATTGGCACAAAATGTGGTCAAGAGAAGCACTTCATTGTTCATGGACCATCAGAATGTGGATAGGGACATGTGTTACAGAAAAATGTGGATTGGGACTGGTCAGCTTTTTAACTCAATATTTCCCAGTTCCTCTCCTTACTACAGTCCCTTGTGCCTCCTGGCTTTATGTACATAGAGGTTCCAGGATCATCCACGTAGCCTTCTTTTTTAGCAGCAGAAGATGTTGTTAGACACAAAAATGTAAGTCTCTCATACCTAACAAACTATGTCTGGCAAAGTACCTGCCCAAAACCACGACTGTGTTTCTACACCTCATATGGTTAGTGGGGCCATGACACCATGGCTTATCAAGAAGTAGGACTGCCAGCTTTCAGGGAGAGCCTGGAGATTTCCTGGAATTACTATAGATCTCCAGAATACAGAGATCAGTTTTCCTGGAGGAAATGGCAGCTCTGGAGAATGAAATGAATAGGCAAGGAGAGCCAAAGGAGTGGCCCAATGGGAGAAGAATAACTGGTATATGGTTTGAGCCCCTCTCTTCCCCACCTAAGGCCTGTGCAGGGTGGAGAGAGGGATAACTACCCCATGTGGTGGAGAGGAAGATGATATAGGGAGGGAAAATCCCCTTTCACATCCAATCCAAAAGTTTTTGGTCAAAAAAATGCCCTTTGTCTTGCTTTTTTCCTGGTTAGTTGGCAATACTCTATGCAGGTATAAGATAAGGTTGAATGAGAACTATGGTGGTTAAAACACTGGACTAAGGTCTGGAAAACCCAGGTTCAAATCCCCACTTGTGTCATAGAAGCTTGCTAGGTGACCTTGGACCAGTAACACACTCTCAGCCTGACCTACCTCACATGTTTATTATGAGGATAAAATAGAGGAGTGGAGAATGATGTAAGCTGCTTTGGGTTCCCATTGGAGAGAATGGTGGGATATAAATAAAGTTAATACATAAATGAGATGAGAGCTCTCTTACAGCCATTAGAGCAATGTTCACATTACATTGAACAGATCTATTCATTTAACTATCATGGTTTATTATTATGTACCTCTGTTTCATGGACTCCCTACTCTCATCATATTCAAGTGCTAAAATCAGTGTGGCCCCAATACAGGCATTATCTCCAGAGGAGAGCTTCACAGGTCTTACCCTCCCCCTTTTCATGACAACTCTATGGCAGTTTAAGAGATTAGTAGATAATGTCTGTTCTGGACACATTTGACAACCATTGGGATGATTACCATATACTTACTCCCCTTTCTGAGAATGAAACTGTGCAACTCTCTCTGTTGCTAAATACATCTCATGAGCTCTAAAAATCTAAGCAAATGACATTCCCTTAGCCTTGGAATAACCAAGGAGCCTGATGACCAGCTTCAGTTTTTTTATGGATTTTAACCTGTGCTATTTTTATGTATATATCTATCCTTTTCTATTGAAAAAAAAAGATATGAGTCGCATGTTCTTGTGAATGTTAACCTAATCTTTCTTTTATTATCTGAAGCCAATATACTATATATAGACTTTTTTTGAGAAACTTAAATGAAATGGAAACAACAACTCACTTTCAGATTATACCTTCTCTTTTTCACTTTTTAGATATGGATTACTGTAGAAGCTGTCCACCAGATCATTATTCAAATGCACAACACAATCAATGCATTCCTAAAGTCATAAGCTATCTCTCTTATGAAGAACCTTTGGGGATGAGTTTTTCTTTGACTGCTATTTCTTTTGCTGCCAGCACAGCTTTGGTGCTTGGAACCTTCATTAAACACAAGGACACTCCCATTGTCAAAGCCAACAACCAGAGCCTCACCTACATTCTACTCATCTCCCTCCTTCTTTGTTTCCTTTGCTCCTTGTTCTTCATTGGGAAGCCAGGGAGAGTAACCTGCCTTGCACGACAAATGGTTTTTGGCATCACCTTTTCTGTAGCTCTTTCTGCAGTACTAGCTAAGACCATCACTGTGGTTATTGCATTCATGGCTACTACACAAGGATCCAGAATGAGGAAGTGGGTCAGCAAAAAATTAGCAATTTCCATTATCCTTTTTTGCTGCTTTATTCAAGGTTGTATTTGTACTTTTTGGTTAAATACTGCTCCTCCATTCCCAGATGTTAATATGTACTCAGTGACAGAAGAAATTGTATTGGAATGCAATGAAGGCTCCAAGATCATGTTTTACTGTGTCTTGGGCTATATGGGCTTTTTGGGCATTGTTTGTTTTACTGTAGCTTTCCTAGCCAGGAAGTTACCTGACAGTTTCAATGAAGCCAAGTTTATCACTTTCAGCATGTTGGTCTTTTGCAGTGTTTGGCTGTCTTTTGTTCCAACCTATCTAAGCATAAAAGGGAAATACATGGTAGCTGTGGAGATCTTCTCCATCTTAGCCTCCAGTGCTGGGATGCTGGGTTTCCTCTTTCTCCCCAAATGCTATCTCATTGTGATAAAGCCTGAACTGAACAACAGGAAACAATTAAGAATGAGGGAAAAAACCTAAAGCATTTGCAAATTAAAGAATCAGAGATTTAAATTATCTTTCTGATAGTAATTAGCCTGCATTGTCCATGAAAAAAAGAAAGTGGCCCCACTCTGCAACTGAAAGGGTAACAATCTAATTTCATAATGGATTACTCCCAGGCAAACCTTAGAGAAGGAATTCTCACTGAATTCAAAATGAACATCAAACAAAGTGAAAAGCAATACTAATCTGCAGTTTTTCCCCTGCAATAACTGGAATTCAGAACAGTGTCTTTTTAAGTTTTATTATGGCAGGTAGTGGCAGAAAAATCTTTTAAGTATGGTCAGGTGTAATAGTTTGTATGTGTGAAAAGCTGTCAGCCCTGACCTGGATAGCCCAGGCTAAGCCAATCTCATCAGTTCTCAGAAGTTAAGCAGGGTCACCCCTGGCTAGTATTTCGATAGGAGACCTCCAAGGAATATCATGGCCATGACATGGAGGCAGGCAATGGCAAAATACCTCCGAACTGCTCCCTATCCAAAGATACATCAGATTGTGTCTTGGTCTAATTAACATAATAATGAGCCAGCACTAAACTTGCAACCTTAATTACAGCCTTACTTACCAGTTTACTTGGACTAGTTAATTTTAAACTCCTCCTCACCATACAATATGAAGCAGTTAAAAAAGGGTTTCACTCAAGGCCAATTAGAGACAGACACCCATCCCAATTTCCTGCTAGAGCCAGAAGCAACCAGCTAACCATTTCCTGTACTTCAAGGAAGAGAGCATGGGGCAGCTCTTTTAGCAAAAAAAAAGTGGGTGTGATCATGGTGTCTCCCCTGCCAGGTAAGTACATAAAAAGGTGGGTGGATAAGACAGTGCTGGTTTTAAATAACCAGCCCCAAGTGGCAATCTGTGGATCATCACACTATCACAGCCACCCACCAAAAAGTCTCCTACTGAATTTAGGAATTGATCAGAAAGCATAGAGCCATCCAGAAAGCCAACACTTCATATTGTATGCAGTGAATTCCATAAGTTAATAAATGGTTACTGTAATCTCCTCCCCTAGTTTGGAGCAGATGGAACATTTGGATTCTGTGCCTAAGATATTTGGTGCATTGTGTGATTACTAAAAGAGGGTTGAATCCAGTCAGCTTTTCTGTTGGTGAAAAAAGTGGGAGAGAATCCTATTTATCTACCAAAAAGCCTATGCTTGGGGGCCGTAGGGTCTACATAAACAAAACTATGTGTGATAGGGGGCTGTAATATAGAGGAGAACTGAGGGACATTTACCAAAAACACTAGCTGGATCCAACCCATACAGTGGCACCATAGACATGACATATTGGGTGCAAAGGGACAACATACTTTGGGGGAGCATGTAAAAATGCATTAGCCTCACCCACACTTATGAATGCATGAACATATTCTCCATCCCTGTGATTAGAATATAAGAATCCTAAGCATTCTTCTTGTCGCAGAGTTGGAGCCTATGCACCTATGCACCTACAATTTGCAAGCAACTAAGTACTATGTTGAGGTGTATGCGCATAAATGGGGGCAGGACCAACACCCTCCTTTTTGCATTGCCCCTACATATTTATAAAACGTGTACAAAGTTGATATTTGAAATAAATAGGAAAAAAGAGTGTTCCATCTGATCATCTCTAGAAAAAACTCATTCTATAAAGAATGTCCTTACTTTTATATGCTTCTCATCTCAAGAGAAAAGGGCTGACACATGCCAAATCTAATTTCCATAAACATATACCAAAACCCGGATTCCAATAAGTCAGTCTAGTTAACCTGATACTACAGATTTGCTATGTTAATTTGATGTCAAACTAACTACAGCTCAGTACAGAAACTGGAAATATCTAGCAAAATTCCATATTCTGCTTTATATTGAAGTCCTTCTGAAATCTTGGGGGAGGAGTCACACTTTTTTCCCCCTTATGGTTGTGATTACTTTTTTTAGCCCCCCAAAGGGGATTTTTTATTGCATTTTTAATATACTACAAACTACAATGAAAAAATAGGGAAGGGAACTACATCTAAGGAAAAAGAAAAGTTAACCACTAATAACTAAAACCCCAAGAATAGGAGATCATAACAACAGCTTGTATAAGTATTAATCTAACATTGCTAGAGTTACATTGAACGTAGTCGATTATGCTAAATTATTTATCTTATTATCTATTGATTAAATTGCTTAAAGAGAGCTTCAAGAGCACCATCTGTAATAGAAAGTTTAAGGCACAATTCAGGGTCCTTCAGCCTTCACTTTATTTTATCTTTTCTAATCCTCAGCTGATGTGTTTGTTTGGGGGCAGCCCCCCCCTTTTCAGAAGCAGAGTCCTCATCGGAAGACCCCGAGTCCAATTCACCACTAGATTTGTTGTCATCTTCTCCCTTAGTGTCCTCAGCTGTCTCTCCCAGTTGCAATCTCAGGAATTCATGCACTTTGAAAATGGACTCAATCTTTTCTTTTTTTATTGTGTAGTTTAAAAGTGACACCTACTGGAATCAGCCATCTGTAGGTAATGCTATTTGTTTGTAGAAAAAGGATGAAATCTTTATACTTCTTCCTCTTTTGCCTTATTTCAAATGGAATGTTTTTAAGGATCTTGATGGTGTTATCTCCCATTTTCAAGGGCGTTCCCATGGTTGCTTTTAGGATTAAATCCCTCACATGTCTCTTTGAGAATCTGGCCACTATCTACCCAGGCAGATTATTTTTCTTAATGTAAATTGAATAGGCCCTGTAGACCACATCCATTTCACTTGCAAGGTAATCCGCTTTCAAATCTGTAACTGGGGCTAATGCTTTGCTCAACAGTTGCTTTAGATTTTCACCTTTTACTTCTGGGACCCTTGGAACCTGAGGATCAGATTTACTTTCTCCATTTGTAATTGTAGAAGTTGAAATTCATCTGAAGCTTGCTTTTTCCCCAGCATTTTCACCTTTTTCTTAACTTTTTTGTCGTTAGCATCAATTTCCTTGACTTTCTCAGCTGTTTGCTCCGTCTTCTTTGCAGTTTCAGTCAATTGGAGCTGCTGAGTTGCAAAATTCTGATTTAGGGTTGTAAACTGCTGATTGACATTCATCATCTGGTCCAGCAGAGGGCGCAAGGAATCTGCCAACAGTTTGGAGAACTCAGTGACCTCTTCTCGTCGGGAGGTCATGCTCCCCACTGGTTTCGATTTTGCTAGTCTGTCTCCCTCTGTCTTCTTCCCCGCCATCTTTATGAATTGTTTACTTTTAGAAAAAGTTGCTAAAGTCTCTGAACTTCGCCCATATGCTTATCCATGATTTGGTAAGTCTCTCAAAACAGATTTTAACGCTGTTGCCTTCACTCCCCCCTTTGGTAAATCGCTTTTTTGTTTGTGTGTGTGTGAGGGGCCCCTCCCCCGCTCACTTTTCTCACCATTCCCAGGGGGTGCTTTCCCATCATTTGCTTTAACTCGACTCATTGTTGGTCTTACGACCTCACTCAGAGTACGTTTCAAACACCTGATCTCCAACGCTTGTCCCGGTCAGCGGCTCTAATTCCATATGGACACTCAGTGGCAGGACCATAGGGGCAGAAGAGTGCCTCAATTCCCCAGCAATGTGCTGATGAAGAGGCCACCCTTCAAAATCCCCATGGTTAGGAGCCTTTTGCCAAGGCTCCAGGAGGGTGGCAACCAGTCGCCCCCTCTCCTATCTATTGGTGCACAGAGCGCATCCCCAGGAAGTCCAGAAGATGCATCCACTAGCGTGTCACCATAAACAGGAAGTCCATGGTTGTGATTACAGTGTCATCTCTTAAGAGGGGGTTAATTTTCTCCCCAGTAATTACCAGGGTTTCTAAGAATAACTGCCCTCCTCACAAAGTCTCTATGGCTGTATGATGTTCACAAGAAACCAACAAAACCCATGCAATGGTCATAAGAACTCTTTATAAAGTTCAGAGATCACTTAAAAGTCAAGAACAGGCAGTGCTCTATGATTTTTACATCAGTACAGAGAAATGAATGAAAATGAACTGAAAACAGCCAAGCATTAAGTAGCCCCTCTTCCAATGAAAGTATCCCATTTAAGTTGTAAATCAAGGTACAAAGTCAGCAAGATTAGCTGCCTTTCAAAATAAGTTTTAACCAGTCTGAAGCTAAGCAGTTTAATGTTGCTAAAGAAAACAGAAGGATGTATCTCTTCAGTGGAAGCTTTGTTTTCAAAATGGTGGTCTTGTTGGTGTTGTATTAAAGACACACCTTGTTCATCCTCAAATGCAAATGCATTAACTAAAAAATGTATGCAATCATCTCCCAATTCCACATAAATTTTATCTACCAATCTGTCATTGGACAGATTATTTCTCAACACTATTTTCTGTGTCACAGCATTATTTTCAGAGAACAACCTTCTGAATTTTTAATTAAACATTCCACAGCATACACTTTGTTAAAAATGATAAATGGTGGGGTGGGCAGTATATAAATCAAATAAATAAATAAATAAATAAATAGATAACACAGCAACAAAAAGACTGAAGAATGGTTTATGACCGAGCGCAGATTCTGAGATCCCAGTCATGTAGCTTTACCTTTTGAGAGGGTCCCAATGAGGGATTCAATAGAGACAGTTGGCTTCAAGAAAAAAAAAATTTATTAAGTAGTTTGAACTATATAGAGAGATCCTATACAGGCAATGAAAATAAGTTTTCCAAAGTTCTAACAGACACACTGTGCATTATATAGTATCATCTTCCATCTCCAGTTACTCTGAGAACTAATCATTATGTATTTACTATGTTTACATTATAATTTACAATGCATACCAATTCCATTTCTTTAATGCACATTTCAGCACTTGGTTACAAAGGCACAGTAATGTCAGCTAAGATAGCAGGCATTACTTGATGGTAGGCAACTATTCATGGTTTCTGCCTTCATGTTCTAACTTCCATATCTTAGAGGCTAGGCTTAGGACAGACATCACCAGGCAATTATTTATCTTATTGAGTACAGCACTAGATATTCTTGAATATAAG